AATTTGCTGTTCCGCTTTTACCGGCTGCTGTGTAAACATGCATATGTGGGTCTGAAACACTTTTGAACCATACAATCATGTTTCTGAGCCTTATGCATGGGTCTGGAATACAGAATGAACCCAAGCCTCGATCAAACATTTTTATGGATATGAGACTATATGCTGGCATATATCTTGCATTTTAAAGCGCGCTATGAAACCAAGAGACTTCACTGCTCATGGGTAGATTGCTACAGTGATGGGCAGACTTTTGTCAGCCTGGCTGTCCCAGGACCCCACAGGAAGTGCTGAGGACAGTCCACGGAAGTCAACTTCCTGACTTGATCCGCATCCCTTGTTGTGTTCTTTATTATTCTAAAACCTGTTAAGGAAGGAAGTGGGGTGCTAACACAGATCGGGCTTATCTCCTCAATCTAATGTTATGTGGATTCAAAGTAAAGACGCAAAGCGCTGTCACTTTGCAGCTTTCACAGTGTAGCTCATAAAAATACAATCTTAATCCTCTCGTGAAGTCTGGGAAGAGAATCTTCTACAGCTTCTGTTTTTGCGCTTTTGTGTTTGTGAAGATTTCATTGGCAAGTTACAAAACTTTAAAGGCTACAGTGGGAATTAAGATTAAATTAGGCATTTCAAGCAGATGTATTGATGCACATTCTTCATTTTAGACTGAAAAATGTATGCTTCTATGTTACAGGAGGAAGAGAGTAGCCGCTTTGTGCGGACCTACCCCAAGATGACTGAAGGCCATGTGGATGTGGGCACGCAGACAGAGCCTGTGGTCGTGCTATCTCTAGCTCAGGCTGCTGTTCTTGGCCTCATCTCCCAGAATGAAATATTTGGGGCCACCATTGCACCAAATGGCTTTTACACTGGGGAGCCCAAAGAGTGCCCCCCTCCTCCGCCTGAGTCGGTTGAATATGAGTATGCTGACCAGCTGATAGGAGCAAACGGAGACTACCTGGCAGAGCCTGCCAGAGAGCTGGAGCCCCAGCCCCACTGCAGCGAGAGGAGACGGCCCGGGCCCCGTGGGAGGATCAAGAGGCTAAGGACTGATGGAGAATCAGATGCTCACCCACACAAAGAACCCACTCCACAGGCTCAGGTTAAAGGTGAAAGACTTGAGACTGATACCCCTCCCTCCTGCATTCACATGAACAGCAGGCATAGCAGTCCCGGCAAGTCAGAAGATTCAGCCACCCAGCACGGCTCTCTAAAAGAGGAGCAGGTCTGTGGAAGCTGTCCCTCATGTGTGAGAGATACTCCAAAGCCACAATCAGACAGACAGCAAGAGCAGAAGCAAGAAGACACCTCTGCTCCAGAGAAAGAGAGGAAGGAAGAACTGTTAGTGGTAGGAGAAGAAGAAGAGGAGGCTCTCAATCTCAAAACGAGTGGAGAAACTGGAAGTCCCCTGGAGAACCGTTATTATGATTCAAATGAAGTGGCCTATGAGTCCACTGACATGCCTATGACTGGGGAGTACGAGGAGAACGGCCAGGCCATGCTGTGGTCAGACCCAGAGGGCCTCGCCAGGCGAATGCAAATTGACCGTTTGGACATAAATGTGCAGATCGATGAGTCCTACTGTGTGGATGTAGGAGAAGGACTGAAGCGCTGGAAGTGCCGCATGTGTGAGAAGTCATACACATCCAAATACAACCTCGTCACCCACATCCTGGGCCACAATGGAATTAAGCCCCATGAATGCTTACACTGTGGGAAGCTTTTCAAGCAGCCCAGCCACCTCCAGACTCATCTGCTCACCCATCAGGGAACCCGACCCCACAAGTGTACCGTTTGTGAGAAGGCCTTCACGCAGACCAGCCACCTGAAGCGCCACATGCTGCAGCACACGGACGTCAAGCCCTACAGCTGCCGCTTCTGCGGCCGCGGCTTCGCCTACCCCAGCGAGCTGAGGACCCACGAGAACAAACACGAGAACGGCCAGTGCCACGTCTGCACCCAGTGCGGCCTTGAGTTTCCGACCTACGCCCACCTGAAACGCCACCTGACCAGCCACCAGGGTCCCACCACCTACCAGTGCACAGAGTGCCACAAGTCCTTCGCCTACCGCAGCCAGCTGCAAAACCACCTGATGAAGCACCAGAACGTGCGGCCTTATGTATGTCCGGAGTGCGGCATGGAGTTTGTCCAGATCCACCACCTTCGACAACACGCCCTAACTCACAAGGTACACACCCTTACACCAAAGGTACTATCGCTAAGTGATCCAACAATATGGTCTGAGAACAAACCTCAGATGACGCAGGCCTCACGCTGCTGTACGGCATCATGTAGACCTTTATTTGAAATACAATAACATCATTATAAACTTACATATTTAGCTCATTTCTCAAGTCTAATCATTCATAACAAAATGGGAGGGAAAGGCAGTCTTGCAACCCAGTCTTTTCTCCGAAACCAGTTGCTTTGTAAACATAGTCTTCAAAGGCATGTTTTTTTGTGTGTGTGTGTGTGTGTGGCACAACTAGCCCTGGCCCCATCCCTCCTTACTGCATGGGTTTTGTGGTGAGTGTCGTTTGCAAAGCTTTTTCCGTTTTTGTTTGATGAAATACCATGCCCTTTTTTCATTATAGTCTACTTCATTCTAGGGCTTCTGTCTACATGTGCTTTGTTGGGTATGAAAATAAAGCAGAGTAAATGTTGAAAACCTAGGAGGAAAAAAGGTTTATCATTTAACTTATTAGTCTGTCGTCTTCATCTGTTAACAGACCACACAAATTGAATCAAGAACCAGACGGCAAATGCTTAAACACATGCAAGCGCGTTATGACTCACTGTTTATTTTCTTCTCAACCTTATGATTAGCCAAATTAATTAAAGGGCCCATACACTTTGTTTCTTCAGGGTATGAAAGAGTTCAAGTGCGATGTTTGTGCCAGAGAGTTCACCCTGTCTGCCAACCTGAAACGACACATGCTGATCCACGCCAGCGTCAGGCCCTTCCAGTGCCACGTCTGCTTCAAGACCTTTGTCCAGAAGCAGACCCTGAAAACACACATGATTGTCCACCTTCCGGTCAAGCCTTTCAAATGCAAGGTGAGTGAAGCACGCAAACAAAAAAGGCGTATTTTCTGGTTTGACGGATTACTGACGACTCGCCTCTTGTCTCGCAGGTGTGCGGGAAGTCGTTTAACAGAATGTACAACCTCCTGGGCCACATGCATCTCCATGCAGGCAGCAAGCCCTTCAAGTGTCCTTACTGCACCAGCAAGTTCAACCTGAAGGGAAACCTCAGCCGACACATGAAAGTCAAACACGGGATCATGGACGCCTCTGTGGATGGACATGGTAAGCGACTTAAACCGAATTAGACAGATGTGAAATTTAACTTTGTGGACAGGGAAATGGAAGCAAATTGCAAAGTGGGAATACTCTGATGACTTCGGTTGTTTTGTAGTCATTGACTCAGCGTGTACAGCAACTGAGGGACCGAGTATTTTCATGTTTCTGTCACTCCCTCTCCGTGTGTTTAGTAAACATAGGAGCGCCTGGATTAGACATGCCTCTCTCTATCAGTGGAGACTGTTAGAGAGGGGGGGGCAATCTACAGTTTGTCCTGAATGCGGCCGTGTGTGTGTGTGTTTGTGTGTGTGGTCTATCGAGGGCAAAGTGGGATCATAATTGCGTCTTTCTTTCCATTGTCAGAACCTCCCCAAGAGACAGAAGGCCAGGAGGACTATGAGGAGGAGGGTTTTGAATTCAGTGAGCGAGAAAACCGGGCTAACAACAACAACAACACACCAGACGTGGCTAAACTGTCTCAAATGGAGTATTACGGCACCTACGGGAAGAGCACAGGGCGATTCAGCACTGCATGAATAATTAAAACCCCAAATTGAAAAAAATGTGGACTAATGAAAACAGGATTGTTTATTTTGTCATGGGTTTTGCTGTTTAAGGCATAATGTTATGGTTGCTCTTAAAAGATGTCAGGAGACCCAGCTAACTGCACATCGGCATGCACTGAAGTCAGTCACAATGCCAGAAAATTTGGAAAATGTATTACTTTTATTCGAATTCAAATTTTCATCTACAGCACAGAAAATTTGGAACATTGCACAAAAAGGATGATTTTGGAATCTCTTTTACAAACGTACATGTTCAGGAATAAGAATAACTGCTACTCTGTACCTACTGATTCGAACAATCCTGATCAGCTGGAGAGCACCAATTTGCCGGATGAGAGAAAGGAACGGATGTTCTTTCACTTGCCAAAGCTTATCAAAACGTTAATATCTCATTTTGGTTTATACTGTGATAAATGAAATTCCAGGTCTGCTAAATTGTATATAAGTGTACAGAGCATCGGCCCTCCGGTGTGTAGGCTGGTACTGTAAAAGGTGCACTGCACTATAGGCCACCGTGTCTACTTTTTCCATTTCTGCATTAGCAAGTGTCACACTGTATCAATCTCTAGTCTATGAATGTAATTCGTTTCTGTGGAATGTTTTCTGATGCATACAAGAACATTAATGTTAGAGGACTCCATTTACCAAAGAACTGGATCAAATGTTGGAGCTATGGGTGCCGCCAGTCTTTCTCCTCACCGTTACATTGAGCTGGGACTCGGGATCTCCTGTGGTCCAATTGCAGACCCTCATGAAATTACATTCAGGTTCCCCTCACAACCCGTCTGTAGATTTCTTCAAAATATCATGACAGTGAACAGATGTCAGTGCAGCATTTCCTTAAAACAAACCTCATTGCTCCCCGTCAACCAAGTCTGCGCAAGGCGACACTGCAGCATTTAAAAAAAAAACAATGCAAAGCCTGCATTTCTATTGGTGTTTTTTTTTTTTTTAGTAGATTAATCTCAAGAATTGTCCCCAAAAAGTGGGACAGAAATATGAAGCGCTCCTGTGTGTCTGTGAGGGTATGCCATCCATCATGCTGTACACTGGTCTCAAGTGATGAACGACAACCTCCGAACATGTGACAGGGCCGTGGACCTTGTGGAAAATGATTTGGAAATGTTCAATATATTCAGTTTCCCTCTGCTTTGCTTTTCAAACTTGTAACCTGCAAACAAGGCATCCATTTGCGTGGTGGTATAGTGCATTTAAAAAAGAAAAATGCTCATTTTTGTGAGTTCTTAAGCTTCTGTGTTAACTCTGTCACTATTACAGTGATGATACAAAGGGGACGATGATGTTCAGCTTCTATAGCTTTCGGTATTAGACTTTAGTGTGAAGAAAATATGAATAGAATTGTAAGTATAATGTTGTGTACCAGACAAAACTGTAAAATAATAAATTTATTTACCTTTAAAGTATTCCGCTTTTACCGTTTGTCATAAAAACACCCACACAAAATGCTGACTATAGGTCAAACGCGTTTTATTGGCAAGTATGTTTGAAAGAGGATTCAGTCTTCCTTTGAGGCATTACAGTACAAGTTACAAAAATAAACCTAGCACAAAATAGGACTGGCAGTTAGGGGGCCATCAGGTGGAAAGACGACAACCATTCAACATCTTAGGAAAACACTACATAATTTTACAGGCAGCTTTTGTTTCCTTCGGTTGAAATGCAAGTGGATTTATTGACCTTTCAAGTTAAAAATGAGGTACAAAAACAGAGGAGTGACATTGCCATCTCCAGGCCAAATAGGTTCTTTCAAGACATTCACTTGCCCAGGGCTTTTTCCAGATTTGTCTTGATGGCATCGAGGAAGTCTGTGGTATTGACGTAGTGCTCGTTGAGCTTCACACTGAAAAGCAAGCAGAGCAGAGGACACAATTATCAGTGAGGGACTGAGAGGCACAAGGTTCTGTTATTTGGGTTCAGGACTGACCCCTTTCGTCAACGGCATAACGATAAAGAATGTATATGAAGGATATCAATATCAAACGGGGTAAATATATTACAAGCAAAATATATCATGTGAAAAATTGTCTTAATTTCAGAGAATGTTGAAATGTACATATAATAAAGAATGTGGGTCTGTGTCAACGACAAATGTGAAGGAAAATGAAGGCATCAACACTAAACAAACTTACTTGGACAAGCCGTGGATGCAGCCAGCAAGGTCCTTGGTCATAACACCACTCTCAACAGTCTCAACACACACCCTCTCTAGAGTCTGGGAGAACCTGCAAGTAAACAAACACTTTAAAATAACTTGTGTTTCACACTGATGTCAGCATGTCTGCCAAAGAGGAATTGCATCTCTTACTTAATGAGGTCAGGGTTGCCGTCGAGCTTGCCTCGATGCTCCAAGCCTCGAGTCCAGGCAAAAATGCTGGCAATGGGGTTGGTGCTGGTTGGCCTACCCTAAAAACATGAGATTGTTGGGCTTTTAAAATTCAAGACAATATTCTTTGAAACATACACAAATGAGGAATGAACAATTAACCAAATCTAAGCTTTCATGTTATACTCTATTTTCACCACAAGATGGCAGTAACCCTCCACAAAAGACTATATGAGAAGCAAGTGTGGCTTCAGTCATCTCCTTTGCAGTCAAGTTGGAGTCCTTTCCAAACAGAGTTGCGCAGCTGACAGAGACTGATAGTTACTAACCTTCTGGTGCTCACGATAGTGCCTGGTCACAGTGCCGTGGGCTGCCTCAGCTTCAATAGTCTTTCCATCGGGGCAGACCAGAACAGATGTCATCAGTCCGAGAGAGCCAAAGCCTGAAACAGCAAAGTCCTTTTTCAGTGCAGCCCAGACCAGCGCAAAAATTGGCAAGATCTCCAACGCGCTTGTAGGTTTGATTTCAACGGAGGACACGGAGGTGCTGTTTGCCAAATATCTCACCCTGTGCGAGGATATCAGACTGAACGTCTCCATCATAGTTTTTGCAAGCCCACACAAAGGCTCCTGAGGACTTCAGCACTTGAGCAACCATGTCATCAATAAGCCTGTGCTCATACCAGATCTTCAGTTTCTCGAACTCTGGCTTGTAGTGCCTACAGGTTATATGGAAATAAGCATGCACTGTTACTGTGTGTCTTTTACAAAAATCGTTTACGGCGGCAGCACAGAATCCACTGGTTGATGCACAAAAACAAAGGAAGAGGACGCTCACTTTTCATAGATATCCTCAAAGATGTCCTTAAATCTGCCGTCATAGGCTTTGAGAATGGTGTTCTTTGTGCTCATGTAGAGTGGCCACTTCTTTCCGATGGCATACTGGAAGCAGCTGTGTGCGAAGCCGGTGATAGACTGGAGGCAAAAGAAAGAGGAGAAACAGTTCAACTGCTGCAGGGTTTATCAGCAGCAGCAGGGCTGATAACCTTTCCCTTGTTGGTATAAAAGTCATCTACAGTGACCTCCGATGTTGTTAAATCAAACAGACCGAGCTGGTGAAGGCAAACAAAACAGTAGCAAAGCGGGCTAAAACGAGGTGTGGTGACATGAACTCTACAAACACTGAATTTAAAAGTTTAACTCATCTAAATCAAATGAATATCACAAGAATGAAAGATAATTAATCCAATTATTGTCATTCTGGCTAAGACTTTTTTTTCTTAATTAATCTACAGTATCATTGAGATGTCCATTTTTGATTTAAAGGAAGAAATGAAGATACAATATTCTACACTTTTATATCCTGACCAGGAAATATAACTTGCAGACACTTCCATTCACTCACCTCATCTGTGTTGTACATTCCCATTCCACAGCCACCAGCAGGGAAGTCATAAACTTCCCATTCCTTGCCTGCACTTCCATCAGCAGGTGAGAAGATGATCTTGAATTTACCCGGTTGGCTCACAACAAAGTCTGTTGCTCTGTACTGTTAAACAAAAAAAAGAGAAGACTTTGGTCCCAAAGACACTTTGAGCTCAAAAAAGGAATTCTGCATCTGCGGTATTTTCCTGAGACCGACCTGGTCACCAAAGGCATGTCTGCCGATGGTGATGGGCTGTGTCCAGCCTGGAACAAGCCTGGGAATGTTCTTGCAGATGATTGGCTCACGGAAGACTGTGCCGCCAAGGATGTTCCTGATTGTTCCGTTGGGGCTCTTCCACATTTTCTTGAGGTTAAACTCTACATGTCAAATAAATAAATAGGAACATAAAAACCCCACAAATTACCATGAACAGTTAAATCATTTTGTATACGTTTATATCCATTGTTGTAAAAACAATGGATACACAATGACCTATTTCACAGAAATAGAAATAATGCATCAAATCACAGCCTTTCCTCATGTCTCAACACATTTTTAAAAACCATCTGATGTTATTCCTCACTGGAGGAGTTACTCATAACACTTGGACCTCAGACCTGCACAAGTTCTGACCTGCCACTCATTCACCAAATTTTCCATACTGTTTAGTTAAGAGTAATGCCTACCTAAATACACATAAGCTAAACAAAAAAAAAAAAAAAATTTTTAAATGACCTTCAACTCTGGCTTCATCGGGTGTGATGGTGGCACATTTGACCGCCACACTGTACTTCAAAGTGGCGAGGGCGGAGTCGATGGTGACCTGGTCATCGGTCTGGTCGCGGTAGGGCAGACCCAAGTCGTAATACTTCAGTTCTACATCAACATTTGACAGGATGAGCTAGAAAACAAATACACCACATCAGAATTAGCTTCCAGAATTGTGTAGAACTGCACAAATACAAATGTCTGCAGCTTGAAAAACCATGTTGGTCTTTTCTTGAAACGAGTCCCACAGGGATTGTGAGCAGTGACAAACTAGCTGGTGCCTCTGTTTTACTCTAACACTAACAACATCTGCTGCTTGCCCCCTGACATCACAGATAAATAACCCTCTACATGACCACAGAAACACATCAGTCCATCTTAACAAAAAGAATAACGTTAACAGTCTGGGCTTTTCCTCCCAATTCTCACATGGGGGCTACAGAATCCCCCCCTGAACGCCGCTTTATCACCTTCTCTTTGATGAACTCCCAGATGATCCTTGTCATCTCGTCTCCGTCCATCTCCACCACTGGCTGAGCCACTTTGATGCGTTTGTCGGCATCTTACCCAACAGAAAGAAAAGGAACAACAAGGATTTCAAATTGATGCAACGATCAAAGGTAGAAGAAAAATAGCTTTAAATATCAAAGAAATATATAAACAAAATTATTGAACTGTAACATTTCTGACTGCAAAGCAGAAATCTGATGCATTCATGAAGGCTACATCTCTTTTTCTTCACTAGCAGGCATGTAGAAAAAGATCTGATAAACTTTCGACTAGTACTTAGATTGTTCCCACTTTGACCAGTGGTTCATGCTGAAAGTTGATCTGATATCAGCTCAGTCTAAAGGTTCAGAAATATAACACCAGATCAAATTAACAGGGATCCAGTTGGAGAAATGGTTTTCATGCATTTCATTTAGGTTCCTTGTTTCTTGATTAATTCCAGCCACAAACTGCTGATCAGGCGCCAAGTTGTATCATGTGCACAGGAATAATTCCCAGCCTCCTTAATAAGCATCTGAAATTCCAGTTTGGACCTTTACCCAGAAGTTGGATCTGATGACATTCAACGTCATAACACGAATTTATGCTTACATCTGTTCAGAAAAAGGATTATACAGCATGTAGTTTTACACTGAACATTATAGCATTAACAACATAATTCATTTCCTTTGCCGACTTTAACCTTTCAAAGTACACTCCTAGGCTTCACCCACTCCTAGCTACCACCTCCACCAACAGCATGGATGTGCATCTCTAATCATATCTGCTCTCAGTTTGCTCTGTGTCCTGCCAGCTGTACGATTTCAATTGAAAAGTGCAGGGGGAGGTGCGCGGATCAAGTGAGTCTCCGATTTCCCAGCCAAGTTAATGCTCTCCCACTGCTATTAAGGCCTTCCCACGGCAATGCAAGTAAACACAACGTGTCCTGTGAACACGTTATCCAACTGACAGTCTTAATGTTCTAGATTCAAAAGGTGAATCTGACATTAGACCTCACAGGAGGTGGCCAAGCCAAGGAGGCACCTGTCAAAATGCGTTTGGCTCTTTTTCCGGGCTTCAAACATGACACAAGCCTTGCTGACTGCATGGTGGCCACACTGAAAATAACCCCATAGGAAAAACAGCTGCGACCTCCAGCTTACACAATAGCGTAAAGCGGACAGGAAAAGGCCCAAACAGCTACGGCGCTGCGAGATCCAGTATGAAGTCCAGATTCTGTGCTTGTTAAACAGTAGCAGTAATGATCTGGGAAGTATTTAAAGAATTCATTATCTTGACAGGGAACATTGCAAAGTATGGGGGTTGATCTCCTCCGCAAATAGGTTTCATAAGCGTGTCATAAGGGTCACTTATGTTACTTCACCACAGGCAGGACACAAACGCCACAACAGTGAGACACCTGAAGACTTTACTTCAGTTTTCTTGCGGTTTGTTTTCCAGACATCTTTTTCCCCCACAGTCCACAGCAGGAAAAAAAAGACAATAAAACAAACGTCCGATCAATTGTACGAATTGCCTTTGTGAAATCTGATTGGAATGACCACTGTGCACGTACAGACTGGGAGAAAGAAGTAACTTGAACACCAGGTATTCGGGAATTTATCAGAATGTATCCTTATTTCCTAAAGCCAGACTGTAATGACTATTTGCAGCTCTATTGGCACTCACTTCCAAAATGGAAAGGAAAGGACATTGAAAACCAGTTTCAAAACCTAAACGGAGAAATATCATCAGATTTTCCGGTCTTATACTTAGCCCAAAAAGTGAGGACGGCAAGGTGATTGTCCTTTTTTTTTGGTTAGACTTTTTCCTTTTGCATTTGGAACAGCAGGGTTTCAGCCAGAGTGCATTATGGGAAAGTCATCGACACCAACTGTCTGGCATCGTCTCTGACTCGTCTGCCCCAAATCTGCAAAAGCTATATTCTGCCATCGCTCTTTTGAGGAAGGGGGGGGCAGGAATGAGCCGAGTCGGTTATGTAACTTGTGAATATGAACGGTGACGTGTGGGCTGAAACTAAGTCATGTGGGCTCGCCTGGCAGAGCTTCAGCTTAAAACCGAGGACAGGTCTGCAAGATGCACGCTTCGGTTCGAGACAAAACCATGCATTCCTGACCAGGAACAGATATGCAATGCTTTGAAATCTTTTACATGGAAGCAGCTGTCTTAATTCACATGGTGAAGAGAGCATAATGCACAAATAATTCTAAAGAAAAACTATTCATTTTCTGATTAAGACTTTACGTTTGAACCCATACTGTCCTTTTAATTCTAAAAATCACTTCATTTTTATCTTACAAAAGAAAATAAAGACAGTCATCACCTTTCCTGTTTCACAGGGACAGCTGTGGGTATTCAGCATTTTTTAAATCCCTTGGCTGCACAGCAAGGAACCTATGACACATTTCATGGCTGAACTATGAAACAGTATGTGCCAAATATAATTCTGTCAGGACAGGCAGTAAAAATGCACTCAAAGTATATGCCCCGACAAGAAAATTGGACTATCTGCTGGAACTGATTAACTCTCAATACCATTAAGGTGAGACTTTGGGTTTAATCTTATACGGAAAGGAGGCATTCTCAAGGTAAACAAGATGCAGTCAAGACTCGAAGTGTGAGCCGAAACAAAGGTCAGTTAATAAACTGCAAAAAGAAATCAAAGCTGGATAGGCGTAATACACCCTCTTTCTGGACTTTAAACAGAGATGTGGGATAATTTTACAAGTGCTGGGAAAGAGCTGTGGCTGCAAGTTATGATCACGGTTAAAAAGGCAGCAATAAACATGGTCAGAGTGAAGCTGTTCGGGGGTTTTACAGCTCAACTCCGGTGGCAATTCTGACAAACCTGATGCGGGGATAAAGCTCCCACTTGTGAATGCTTCTTCAAAACTCCTTGCCTTGCAGCAGTGCAAACTGCAACAGTTGTTTCATCTATCTGAGACATTCCTGGACTATCACCCACCAGCATCAGCTATGTACACAAGGCTTTACATCAGGCATGTTGACCGAGTCACAGCAGGGCCAAAACACACTTAAGATAGATGTAAATGTTTTATAAACACCTAATTGAACTAGGAATTTGCGTTTCAGGGATTTAAAACACATATGACTGTATTTTGGAATGAAATGTTTGCTGAGGCTATAAACACAGAGCACTTTTTCACATCACAGAAATAACTTAACTCTTCTGCCCTCGATTGCTTGAAAAAATATATATAGCCAATTTGGTTAGGGTTTATAGTTTGCATCAAAGAGAGACGCCGTATATGATTTCAGAGTCTAAATGATAGTCATGAGGAGTAAATTGCGCGGTTTGGAGCAGAGTTGTGGATGTAACCCAGAAGGAAACAGTATGTAGGCCAGCCGGAGCCCTGGCAGCGGCAGCCATTGCTCTCTATTACGGGCTCTCGTAGGCAACGGCTGACCTTGATACAAAAAAAGTTTTCCAAGTCATTGCCGCGAGAAGGACGCGACAAGTGACTCGCAACTCGTCGGCCGTGAGTTAGCACAACTTATTCAATTCACCTGAAAGCTAGTTTCTGTGCCCCGAGAGACGAGCAACAACATTTCCGCGGGGAGCTGAAAACGGAACATCCTTTTTTTTGTTTTGTTTTGTTATTGCTGCCCAGTTTCTGCGCCGCTTTTTTCTCCTGCCTTTCGATGGAAAGCGACTTGCTAAGCCGCGCTGCCATGTCCGTTAAGCTGCCAGATGTGTGTGGTGTCTGCGGTTCATTGTTTTCTGCGCCCGCATTTGTCCACGTTATTATCAAATGTTCTTCGAAGTTTTGGATGGGAAAACACCAACAGCTCTTTCTGACTCGGTCGAGTCGCTGTCCCCGGCCTTTTCTCCCACTCGACGTGTGCACCCACCCCAACCTGCCCCCATTAGTTTGGTTAACCAGCCATTTAAATCGAGGAAACTGCTAGAGCATCGTATTTACGTAATCTCAGAGACCATTATATCTATTAACAGCATCCCTGTTGGCTAGCAGCACAGCGCTGGTTAGCATGGCTGCGTTAGCCCGGCGTCATATGTTCGGCTGATTTTTGTCGTCTTTATCCAGCTTGACTGATCCTACCACATGCAACATGAGCTACTTAGAACTCCGCGAAGTCCACACACTGCTAGACAAAGCTGCAGTTAAAGAGTCAGCATCACCATGGTCAGACTGACCCCATCTACCCCCACTCACAGTTTCTTTGTTGCAAAGTCTGGCAGTTTGCAGCTGGCGCGAGCACGGCGGGATTTCTGGAAAAAGCGGCGCCGGCGGACCTCGAAAGAGAGCTGAGGACTTTCAAATATCCAGCCATGTCTTCCCGGCCTGAATCACTACGCGGTCAACACTCGACGAAACTCAGAGCGAAGAGGGGGCGATGTTCTCCGATGCCGTCTGCAATATAGTCCGGAGCAGCACCGCCCCCCCCACCCCCCGCCGGCGGGACACGCTGACTGCTACGTCAGAGTCACCCAGCCTCAGAGAAGGGTGGGAAACAAAAAACTCAAAACAGCACACGGCCTCATCTCACAGTGCACGGCTGCGTGAACCATAGCCAAGGTCACTGACTGCCAAAAGTATGTAATACTCTGACTCTAGTTCACAAAAAGTGCACCATGTAAGACATAAGTCAATGTTAAGATGGTACTATAGATCCAGAGACCCACAACATCAAAGGGCCTCCTGTGTTACTGATCTTATCTCAGAAATGTGATATGAAATAAGGCAGAGGATGACAGTTAATGAACATAAAGAGAAAGACACAAATAGTTGCATATTCAAGACTGGATCAAAATGTCACAAATAAAAACATTTAGACTTAAAGGAGACAAAACATAACTCAGATATGATTCAATATCATTTTTAAAAAGGCTTCTTGACAGATTGGTGGAGAAAGAAATTTCCTCCACAAAATGACTTGAATGATGGAATATCTATGTAAAATAAATCTTTTGAGAAACAAAATCAGCCACATAGTGTCCTTTTTGTTTTGTGTGAGTTTCCCCAGCTTTCGGTTTTAGTCCTTTCTGAGCTAGATCAGAGACCTGTAACATGTCTGTGCCCAGGGTTCAGCTGTGTTATGATCAGTGTGCACAAGTGCACTTATATGATCAACTGTGCTACCGGCCTGGAAAAACTGATAAGAAAGCAAGAGTTTTAAATTTTCTTGGTGTAGATGAAACACTCAAACAAATCTGAGTCATTGCAATCCCTGCCAGGTGAATAACCATCTTTTGAACTCCGAGTTAAATTCAGGCTTTCAAGAGCCAGAGGAGAAGTTTTCCCAGGCTCAGTAGCACTCCTGGTGTTGAGCAAATTGTATGTTTGTGACACCCAATTAAATGTTTGCAGAAACAATTCTATTGTAATTTGCCAAATACATATAATTTTTCACAACATTTTCTACTCTGTGTTCTCAAATGTGTGTGGTTTTACAGACTCTTGAGATCAATGATTTATTTTGTGACTGAGCTCAAAATGTAAGATCCCAGATAGTAGTCACAGTAATGATATGGTTGTGTGCACCAATACGAATGGGAATAACTTCTTAGTCACAAATAGTGACTAAGAAGAAGGGCACAACTATGTAAAATATATAAAGTTTAGTATTATCAGCTCCATTCAGAATCATGTATTGTCTGCTTACTGGACTGCATTATGCTGTACAAAGTGTTCCCTTGTAGATATCATCACAAAGAGAATATGAGAACTTTCATCTTTGGGAATATCAGAGCTAAGCTGAAGTAAACAGAGTAACTACAACTTTGTGATAAGTTCTTCCAGATAACATGTTACAGTGTTATTTAAAAAAAAGACACTTTAAAAACAATGTTCCAGTTCTGACACTTTCAACTAATACAAAAATAACTGATTATTTTTCATGAAACAATTGTTTTCTACTAAATTAAAACATAAGGAACTTTCTTGCATCTTAGTCTTTTCTCTTCTGGGCAAATCTGCAGGTAGAAATTCTTTGTAAAATGTAACAGGAATAATTGCAATCATTTACAAAGTCACTAAGCAATTGATGAGTAATGTAACGTAGGAAACACTTCAGCAAAAGAAAGGTGTGAATCTTTCATAACTGAACATAATTGACAAAAACGCTGATATGGGGAAAAAAAGTGTCATATTAATCAAAATTGAAAATATTGGGGGGGACTGAATTCTCCACGCTACAGATGGAAGGAACCATCTGGTTTGCCAAAAGCCTGCCCCTATAAAGGTGGGAGGTTGCATGAGTGCCAGTGAAACCAGCATGCACAAGTGGAAATCACTCCCAAAAGGAATATTCAGGTTTTAGTGAAACATAAGAGCTTCATGTACACGTTTTTAAGCCTGTTGCCTTATGTACCAGGGAGTGATTTGATGTGAGTTGTTTTTTAAACCACTTTCTTGACCTCTTACCCAGTCCTTATCCAAGTCCTATAACTTCTGTCCTGATCAAACAAACAATCACTTGTTCACTGAAGAATAATGGATATCATTTAAACAGGAATTGTCTGCAGAATGGGTACAGGGAAGTCACATTCCAAAAAGTCTCAGCAGAGGGCTCTCTAATTTTAGCAGAGGAAGGTTACCATACTGGGAGAAGGACTGGGAAGTGTGCAACACAGTCACATGATAGGTTTGGTGGTGAGCCAAGAGACAGGTCACCTCTGAAGTCCTCTTTGAGACTATGGAGGTTGTGCTGATTACAAAACAATCAAATCGGGGGGAAAAAACTGTTGATCCAATGTCATAAGAAATATATTTTTATTTCTTATTTTGCACTGGTTAGATTATTGTGCAGAGGAATGAAATGAAAGTTATTTTCTTTGAAATGCTCATGTTAATCCTGCATGTATAATGGGACACCATGACGAACAATGTGCTATCTGCGGTCTGGTAGAGGACAGTGGCAGTTACACGACCTCTGCTTTTAACAATAACTCCTGAAGTCTCACTCTGTTAACATGTTTGCATGTCTTACACTCTCAGATGTCACCCTGTAAACTCAAGGTCAGCTCTCTATATAGAGTTGTCATTCAAACTCATAATTTCTGACTGCTCCACGGAGTTGTAAAATTGGAAAAAAGTCAGAACTTAATCGTCTGATGCAAAAAAATGTATTCACATAATTGAGAAAAGAACTAAATGTTAGATTTTCCATTAGCTCCTTGGCTCTAGCACCAACAGGGCACTTTAGATCTGAGGTGTAGGTTACTGCTATTATTGCTGTTGTTCTCTCTTGTCTACATGCAACAAGAGACACACGCAGGAGTTATGTCCATCATTTGTTGCCGTAGTGCTTCATAAATCATCGCACAATAGTTTCTTGTGTGGTGGATTGACATGAAAATGAAAATGATTCGTGTGCTCCATCTGCTGTTTTCACTTAGAAAGCAACAACACTGTGAGGCAGCAGGGACCTCTGCTGGACAAATAAATATACTCCCTAAATAATGGCAAGTAATTGTCAATGTTTACCACCACATATTTGTTAGTTCGTCGTCCCCACATTTGTTATAAATAAATAAATTGTTCCCCAGAAATACAAACAAAGATGGTCACAGGATGGTTCAAGAGCATAAAATAATTTAATGAGATGATTTATTCTGTTGCTCTATAGAAGGCCAAATCTTAGTTGCATTACTAAAACTTTGGCTATCCATGTTATAAACAATGCATAATCCTAAATATCTATAGTTCCTATGTTGATGTGAACAGTAAATGACATGATAGCTTCTAGTTACTTTCACAATAGTTTTGTGTTGAGAATACTAATAATCAAAGTTCTGCCAGTAAGTTATCTTTGCGTGTTGTGTTTAAATCTAGTTTTTTAGTGGGTACTTTCAAAGTAATTAATTTAGATATAAAAATGTAGTTTCCTGGGTTAATTTAGCTTTTTTTAATACAAGTTGTTACGTAGAGTTTACAGGTCGTTGAAATGAGGAACCAATCAGATTCCTGTACGGAGTGACGAGAGGCGGTACTTCCGGTGTACTTCCTGTGTGAGTTGCGTAAACGCGAGCAGCTGTTTATGTAGGTTTCTCATGTTGTTGGTTTGGGGAGACCTAACACATCTTTCAAGAATCGGAGTACCTGGTCCTTTGGAATTTAAAAGCTTTATTTGCAGGAGTTCAGCATTAATTCGGCAATGCAGGCACTAACAGCTACTCGGTCATTTTTTCTTCAGTACCCTAAAACTATTACAGTGGTCACACTGACAGGTAATAAATTGGGGATATCAAATCTGTAGTTAGATCATTCAACCGTATGCGTATGTAAGATCTAATGTACCTCAGATAGTGTTACAGTTTGTTAATTGAATTAATCATATACATTTATCAAAGATGTATTTTAATTTAATATAAATTAACGTGCAGCATCTACATTGTTAATTTGTTAAACAGTCAAATATATCAAAACCTTATTTAAGTTAATTGGGCATGTTTTGTTTTGTTGATGTAACCTTAGATCGCATGTCGAAATAAGATCTTATTCACTCTTTAACTCTATATTAACTTGATTTTTTAAAATACATTTCATACATGGCTGTCTTGAAGTTACTGTCAGCCGAAAACTGACATTTTTCCTTAATGAAGCCACAAATCATGTGAATTTATCATCCATCCTCATAATGCATGAATCATTAAAAAAGCAGAACGTGTGCTCCTCAAATTTAAAATCTTTCTTAGCCCCTGAAATGATACCACCCTTTATCCCGCATAAAAATGAAAGCATAAAATTTAGCCCATTAAAGGCTGAAGACTAGAAATAATAACAGATGATCACAGTGACAAAATGTATGTTTTGCCAGATCTTAATGAGACATTGGTGCAGATGGCATTCAGTGATGCAACCAACTGTTCAAAAAGCAAAAGGTTAAATTTGTGGTGAAACAAAGCAGCTGCACATTTTGTATGTATCAGAAGATGAATAACCTCATAACATTTTTCTCAGATAGATAATCTGCTGTCTGTGACATTTTTATTTGAAATGAATTTTGAGTGGTTAAATATTGTTCTCTTTTGAATATGTTCAGATTTCATGACATGTATGCTGGTTATAAAGAAACAATCTGCAACATTTTTCATGGCTTTCTGCAAGATTTGTTGTAGGGCTTGGATTTTGATCTGTTTGGCTAAATGTGTGCGGTTGCTTTACAGGTGTGGGACTTATCGGATTGAAGAAATGGATGGCAGGTGGCGTGTGCAACAGCAAAGCTCGGTTAGATGGAAAAACCGTATTGATCACTGGAGCCAACACTGGGATCGGCAAAGAAACCGCTGTTGACCTGGCTAAAAGAGGTTGGTGGTGGTGGTTATATATTACACTGTTAAATCAAATTTCTCTTTGAAAAACGTTATGTTCTTTTTTCCAGGTGCACGGGTAATTTTGGCCTGCAGAGACATGGACAGAGCCAACAAAGCTGCACAAGATGTGAGAAAGAGAAGCGGAAATAATAATGTGATTGTCAAAAAGTTGGACCTGGCGTCCCTAGAGTCAGTGCGGCATTTTGCCAAAGACGTCCTAGCAAGTGAAGAGCGACTGGATGTGCTCATTAATAATGCAGGTGGATGAAGAAATCGCATCGGACACTTGCTTTGAAATGCCTGGACGAGCAGCTGGAAGGCGCTAAACTGTTGTCCATTTTCCTTCTTGTTTTTAGGCGTAATGAGCTGCCCACAATGGAAGACTGAAGATGGCTTTGAGATGCAGTTTGGTGTGAACCACCTGGGCCACTTCCTGCTAACAAACTCTCTACTGGAACTGATAAAAAAGTCAGCCCCGAGCCGGGTTGTCAATGTCTCAAGTTTAGCACATGAAAGAGGTGCATTTTTCCAGCATCAGTATAAAATATGTTTATCTCTTTGGAGTTTTGTTTGAGGAAATTTCATTGCAGTCTCATGTAACAGTACATTTGTCAATAATCTATGACTTCTGCTCAACAGGTCAGATTTATTTTGATGACATTAATCAGGAAAAAGATTACCAGCCAAGGAGAAGCTATGCTCAAAGCAAACTAGCCAATGTCCTCTTTACAAAGGAGCTTGCCAAGAGGTTGCAAGGTGGGATGTGTCTCTTACTTTAACACATATGCAATATTCATTTTAAGATAAAGGGATTCCATCATTCTATCTGTTTTCCGTTTATCATATGGTAGGCACTGGAGTCACAACGTATAGCCTCCACCCTGGAATCATCAGGACTGAACTTGGCCGTCACTTCTGGCCCTCAATGGCCCTGTGGAAAAGAGTTGTGTTCACACCTCTGTCTTACCTCATCAAGTCCCCGGCAGAGGGTGCACAGACCACCATCTACTGTGCTGTGGAGGAAAACCTGCAGAATGAGAGTGGACTCTACTACAGGTCAGTCATTTTTGTTTTGACCTGGATTTAATCAGTTAACACTAGTGAACACAAGTACATGTTTAAAATATTCTGCCAATATAAAAACAAGGAAAATGGTCACTTTAAATAGTTTGTCGTGGCAAACTGACTGACATGATTGCCGATATGTATAGAACAAATTGAGGTCTTTTCAAGCACATCCCAAAAACTTTCAATGAGGTTGATTTACTTATTTAGTCGCAATTTAAATTCAAAGGTTGCTGCAAATTCGCACTGGTTCATAACAAGCGAGTTCCCAGTTTCAGTCCTGGCTTCTTTGTGTGGAGTTTGCATATTGTCTCCATATCTGCAGCTCTCTTTGGATACCCCTGCTTCTTCTCACCATCCAAATAATGCATTTTAGGTTAATCAGAAACTCTAAAGTTTTTGGCCAAGCAGCATATAAATTACTGACATATTCAGATCCATTATCATCACCCAAATCTACAGTTGCCTCCGTAATATGACAGGATTCCACTTTCACTCTGTAATAAAAATGAATGGGGAACGCACCTGTTGTGCTAATTTCTTACCAACTTCTCTGTCTTTCCAGTGCTTAAGATCATGCTGGCCTCTATAAATAAGAAATGGTAGAACTAAGAACACTTTAAAACAGTGACTAATTGCTAACGGTGCAAAAAAGAATTTGGTGAAAGTCAACCCCCCCAAAAAAGTCATCCAATCTGAATATGTTATGCTGAGTCCTGTCATTTAGAGTCAGGATCAGCGCCAGCTCGAATCAGATGCATGGACATTATATTTAAAACACACCCAGGAGACACAGAACAAATACAACACTTATTTAACGTTAAGCCCCTGAACACGATTCGTATCAGCTCAATATTCATTGTAATTTTAGCTCTGCTTTGCTCCCCTCTGACACTCCAGGGACATATCCATTTAGCTGCTAAACGTTCCACTGCAATCATTTTGTCTGTCTGTTTTTCACCTTTTGTTGCTCTGGTGTGCTGTTATTGGGATCGATAGAGCTTTCTCAGTAGAAAATAATAACTTGATAAGTTGACAAGTGCAATGCTGTAAAACAAAGCAATTTGTCTAGAGCTCATGTAAAGACCGCCGTGTAAGGGATGTGGATTACAAATGTAGCCTATCAGTAAGTTGTGGTCAGCCATTTAACATCATACAGAAATTACAGAAGGGGTTAGATGCCAATCAATTGGAGTAAAAAGTGGGTTAGTGTTTCAAAAGTGCTTTTAATCTAGATTCACTCACTTGTATAAGTATCACTCAATCAGGCTTGTGCCAAATTATTTTATACCTCAATATGTATAAATATATTAATAACAATCAAAACAATCTAGCTGTGCCAGGTGGAAAGTGAAACTAATGGTGATTTTATCTCTTAGTTTCCCTGACTTTGGATAGGAGATATACATTTTAATGACTTCAGGCATTATCTTAATTCTTGATGGTCTTGGGGTTTAGCCATTTTCCTAGTCAAAGTCTTACATTAAAAAGTTAGCACACGGCTTTGTCCTTATCTCTGCAAATTTGAAAAGGCTCAGACCTTAGTCCTCATTAACACACTCTAATCTTTGTGATTTATAATTCTAATGAATGAAAACAACTTCATAAAGGAGAGAACAACTACAAAATATTGATTGATTCTCGTGTTGTAAGAGGAACTATCTTGCCGATGGTGATATATCCCACTGATGAATTTATCTTAATGCTGCTTTTCACAAAGCCATCTTAAGAGCTTTCAGTGTCTTGGAGAAATGTTGCAGTATTATCTCGTAAACTGTCCCATGGGTGAATTCATTTTCATAATTTATTCTTGAATTATGAACTTACTTATGTGACTTAATGAGCACAGTAAGTGTGCATCAGGAGGCATATCTCAAGTTGTGTGTTTAACAATGAATTGTGTACTGATTGCAGCGACTGCGCCCCTAAAACTGCCGCCCCTCAGGCACTGGATGATGAAGCAGCCAAAAAGCTGTGGGATCTGAGTGCCTCCATGGTGGGTCTGACACAATCGCAGTGACATCGATGGTAACGGCGATGAGGACTGCTGTCATCACAGTACCAAATTACCAACATTCTGCCTCAGGATGCACCGATGAGCATCTGTGTGGATATTAGCAGTTGAGCACCAGCTGATGTGAGAGATGAGTTAACAAGCAAAACACAGGAATTTCTCAAGTGATAGACATTTATTTAGAATGTACAACAAACTATCTGCAAAAATACTATGGATTTAAGTATGTTTTTATTTCTGAAACAGATCACTGCTTCACAGTCTAGTTACATGGAAGCTGTACGATCTTTAGATTGCCATTTTAAATGACATTTTAATTGACAAAGTACACCAATGTCTGTTGGCTGAGGGGCTTACATGCCATTTAATGGTCCTTATAATAAACATAGGAGTTATAGCTTAATTGACAAGCTTTTCTAACACTGTTAATGGCAACATTTTCAGTTTTGTCCTCCTCTCCATTAAAGTGCTGTTAAACATCATAGGCCGTTGTTTTACCTGTTATTAAGGCAGTGATTCAGATGGTGTATATTATTCCTAAGGAGACTGTTTTTTTTAAATAGTGAGACCTGTGGTGTTATAATAAAACATGTCAATTACATCAACATTAATTAACATGGTCTTAATACAACAAATGTATATGCGTGTCCTTTTTTTGTGTGTCTTTATCTTGAAGGCACTTTGTACAGAATTGCTACAAACAGTCAGATTTCATCTCACTCAAAGCTACATCTCAGACAAGTGCATCAATCTCTTGTTTTTTTTCTGGTGAAAGTCCATTACGGGCGTAAATTACACATGCACAAAGTGCACCCAAGTGGCCTGCTGGCTAAAAATGAACCCTGTATGTCTCCTATATTTTATATGATAATGTAAGAGCTAGTTAAGAGGAAAAGTACTTTGTCTTGGCATTTACATTCAAACAGGTAAAACATATATAACAGACATTTTGGATTCAAAAGATGACAATCCTAACGGTTAGATGACACAGGGAAGAAAACTATCTATATTGCTCAGTTTTTATAAATGTATATATGTATATATATATTAATTTATCTTTAATAATTATACATAATTGAACATCTAGATGGCTGTGTTTCTACACAACTGGATCTATAGACGTACTTCCTGACAATTTATGGTGTTTACATATCTACTTCCACAGTATTTGCTGTAATCACACCATGGCTACCTAATGAGCAACCTCTTCAAAATCAGAAAGCTGTTTCATCTGCTCCACTTGCATAGAGTGCCTTCTCACAAGTTTCTTCTTCATCTTGAGACCTCCTTTCTTTGGTGTGTTTGGTGCTACTGGAGCTATAGATCTAATACCAGTTGACAGGGGTGAGGATGACTTGTTGCTCGCCCCAATATCTGGAATAGGAGGGTTGGGGTTGATGTTGAGAGGGGGCAGGTGGCCAGGCCTGGTGTGGGAGATGTAGTCCAGCAGCAATGTGCCCGAGCCCCTCCTCTCCAGGAGGCCAGGTGCACGCCTGCGTGCTGTGCTTGGAGAGGATGTGCTTGTGTTGCTGTCAAGAGATTCTCTCGAACTAGTCAGCATTGCAAGAGGAGAAGCGTTTAGTTTCCGTCGTTCCACTGGGACCTTGGGAGAGTCTAACATGGCAGAGTCTGAATAGAGCTGTGAATCTGAGTCATAGTGATCGTTTCCCAGACGTCTCCGATGCATTGTGTCTCTCAGGCTGACTAGTCCGCTGCTGAGGCTGCTGTTCTCCTGCTCCATAGGAACCGTACTGCGCCGGGCCAGCGGCTGATGCTGGCCGAGAGATCTTTCATACGATGGTTTAGAGGTTGGAGGAACCGATAATGAGGTTGTCATTTTGCAAGGCTGCTCGCCTACCAGTGGGAATAAGCTGTCCTTCCCGTCCACACTGTTCTGCCGGGACAAGGCCGATCTCTTGCTCAGAGAGAGTCCATTCACCCCTGCAACGACATCCTCATCAGGGGATGCTTTCTTACTCTCCTCATGGGCAGCGGCTGCGGCCAGAACCGAGGGAGCAATCAGTCCCCAGGGCTCTGATTGCAGCCTCTTAAGCTGAGGCAAACGCGCACGCTTGGGGTTAGCGGGTCGGCGGGTTGGAGATGTGGGCCCGTTTGTGAGCTTTGCAGCTGCACTGGACGATTTGAGTTTTGTCTGGAAACTGAAGACAGTGTTCTGTTGATTTTGTTCAGACGCCGAAGATGCAGTAACATCAACGTCAGAGGGAGAGGCGCAGCATTCTGAGGATGACTTCTCAACCAGCTCTGGAGATGGGGGGACATTTAGATACTGTTTGGTGGTCTTGGTGCCAGATGGGGACTTGTCCGTTGTGATTATGATGACCTCCTTGCCTTTAGCCTTGCATGCATCCAAGAGCAACTTCAGTGTCTCCTTATCATCTGCATTGATGGCATAGACCAGAGCTGAAGCCCCGCTCCTGTCCTCCAGACTCGGATCAGCACCGTTGCTCAGGAGATGATCCACTACTTCATGCCCAGCCTTGTGAATACAAGCATGCATCAGAGCTGTCCTGCCGGCTTTGTCCTGTATATTCGGATCCGCCTGGTTGTCAAGCAGATATTTGACAAGCTTTGATTTGCTCACACTCTGCTGGTCAGAGTGTGCTGACATGCAGGCCACCATGAGAGGTGTCTCCCCACGTTCGTTGCTCTCGTTGATATAGGCACCTCCTTCTAACAAGAGTCTGGTGAGTCTCAAGCGTCTGAGCCATACTGCTTTCAGGAGAGAGTTTCCATCTGTGCGCAGCTCCAGAATATCTGCCATTTTCCAGCCAGTCACAGATCTTCTCAGTATTGAATTCACAGCTCACAAACCTTTGAACAAATAGTGGAATTAGTTCAACACATTAAACAAAATCTTGCAATTATGAGTCAGTTTGTTTGTTCAGTGTCAAATTATATCAAACCAGCAGGTGGCAGTCTGCTACTATATGAAATATAAGATATAACTTCGTACTTTTCTCTGATATTGGGAATATATGTCTTAATCTATCAGCCAGATAGAATTGAGCCAGATGGAAAACAGTTTTCCTATAATCATCATGACCATGCGTCAAACAGCTGAAGACAGCCAGGTAACACTACCTGTTAGAGTCACAGACACCTCTGGTGAATAATCAGCTGGTGTTATTTGGACGTTAAAATGAAAACAGGTATCTCCATCAAGAAAAATTGCTTGCGAGAATTTCCCACCTTGTACACAACAATTCTCAGTCTACCACGATCTACAGGGAGAGCACAGAAACACCAGTCTTGTTCATGATTCTGTTTCGAGGGAGATTAACGTAACCACGAGAATACGTTTTGTTTTATATCTACATTGAAAATGGTCTCACAAACATCAGAAAAGGTTGAGTTTGAGACGCGGGAGTCGCTGTCCGTGGTGCTCATTTTGGATAACTTGGAGAGACGCGCTTCTTTCCAAATCATTAGAGCGTATCACCCACATTCTCTGTTGAAATGTGCGTTTGATGATTTATCCCAAATACAGTTGTAGGTCTGTGAATATAAGCCACATATCTTTATGTGATGTCCAATTTGACAGGGAAATCTAATCGACCAATATTTTCTTGCAGCAACGCAAGTGAAGGACACGAAGTTTAATTCAGTAACCTTTCGCTTTCCGTAATTTAGTAATTTAACAATTTCCCTAAGCCACTTTTCCTTTCCTTTTCTTACCTGGTCAGAGAGGAGGTTTTCCATGTCCAAAGTGCCCAGTGACATCTAACGGGGAGGTATGCAAAGGGAAAGAAAATGATTCAAAACATAAAGTTTGCAATATCCAAATGTTCAGCTGTGGTTATTCCCATCGACGCGTCCTGGTCTGTATTATGGTGTGCCGTACCCGTCTGTCACCATAGCACATGAGCCGTGTGGCTTTTGTTATGGAGGCATGCTACATCAGTCCAATGGGGAGTATTCCTTTCACTGCGCACTCAAGGATCACAACCTGGAGATGCAGCGGGTTATAAATAACTTAGTTTCTTGCTTGTTGAATGAAACGTGTATTCTCTTGACGTCAGAGTCGACCGAAATAAACTGCGTCTGCTCAAAACCTCTGTCCTGATCTTTATATCTGCAGAATGCAAACAAAATGAGCGCCACCCCTTAAAGACGTCCGAGTGTTCACGATGCTTTTATCTTATTTATGATTATGGAAACACAACAGTTTGTAAATGGAAGTGACACAGGGGCAGAGTTTGTGGATCATGCTGCCTTGTAAGAAACTGTGAGCCCATGCCTCAGATAGTAAGTCTGAACTATAAATAATTTTGAATCCTTCTGCTGTGTGAAACATCAGTGTGGGAACAGAGGCAGGCTCTCTACCTGTCATGTAATGAAGGGCGCAGCAAAAACAGTTCAACTGTGAAATGTGACAAAGGAATCTGCTCAGGATCACACTGCTTCTGGAAATAAAACATCCCATTTGTTAAAAAAAAAACAGAACAAAACAGGATTTACTATTTCATGCATCACTCAGTAATGTAATTTGAAGGCTGATGGATTTTGCCAGTGTCCAACAGGTCCTGTCTCTTACAAAGGCGTGTTTTACCGTTCAACACATTTAAAAGATGGAGCTAAATATTTTTGCGCCCACTATACTTACCTTGTTCAATTAAAGAGGCCAAAACTTGTAGCCGCCATCACAGCTATACAGCCTAATAGGGACATTTCTATTTTTAGGTTGCTATGAGACAGCACAGAGACTGTTTCTAATGAGAACAGTGATGTTCTCAGCCCTACAAGGAACAGGTAAATCAGACACATAACATTCCACCAGCAACTGAGAAGCTTTTATGGCATTTACTGAGACATTTTCGAAGGTGGCGTATTTTTTTTTTCCCTTTTTCTTCCACTCTGCCACCACATTCGACCATTAGTCCTTTGAACCCTTCTCTTTTTCTCCGAGGCTGCAACTAATCACTTTATTACCCATCCAAACATCTCAGAACTCCTGCTGTCAATTCAGGCAGCGAAGTCTCACCTGTGATTGGTTTTTCAGTCCCCGAGGATGTGCTGTTTACAAGGTGCATGGAGAAAGATTTTATAAAACAGCAAACACTACTGTCACTAATATGAAAAAGATGTATCCATCACCAGCAGGATTCAAGAGGAATTATGAAATATTTGTGAAAAAAATATACATACAGTATATATATACATTCATTTGATATCTATTTTGGTTTTACTTGGTAACAAACTCCAGTGAAATGTTTCTGTCTTGGGGATTTCGACTGTTTCTGTGTGAAAAATCCATATGGATGTCTCCATTCTGTTGTTTTCATAGAAGTGCAATTTTGGAGAGGCAAATAAGGAATTTGAATGTCTGTGCACTTGACTGGATATAAGTTGTGTTATGCACAGGACTGCTGTCAGAACATGCATCCATCCTGACAAGATGCACTGGGAATCAGAACAAGGCAAACGCTCACTGGTTTCGACACAATTATTAGCACTGGGAGAAACAAGAGTGTCAGTGGTCCTCATGTGGTGTGATCTTTACCCCATCAGTGATGTTGTCTATGGTATATTAAAGGGGAGGGGTGGGGGGATTTAAATGCTGCCACCCCTGGGAGCATTTTCCATTTTCAGATATCTTACGTCGCAGCTGCTCCTTTCCCCTCCCAACCGTTCTAAATATAACCTTTTCTTCTGTCTGTATTGTGAGATTTTTACTCATCAGGATGGAGCATAGCACTGGGACTATCTTTATACCTGGTAAAAGACACAGATAACTTATATTCTATCAAGTCTGACAATGATTTATCTTGAAGAAAAACAGAAAAGGTTAACAATTTTCTATCAATTTTCTATCAATGGAAATGAAAATAGAGATAGAACAGACAAAAAAAATATGATTTGGTAAAGATTATGAGTAGCAGACCACCTCATTATCTAACTTTTTTTTAAGTGATATTCTGATCAAACATCTGACTTCACAGACTTATCAGAAGATGGTGGGAATCAAAAATGATCTTGTCAACGATGGAAAGGTCTTCTAAAACAAAAGAGCATATTTACATATATGTCACCCGTAATATACTCTGCAAATAGAAGGGTGCTTTCTATTTCAGTACACATTATAAAATACAGATTGTAAACATAACATTTATCAGAGCCTGGTGATGAGCCAATTATTTACCTTTGTCTCAGTATATATGAGGAATCTGTCAGGTTTTTCGATTCAGCTCGACATCATGTAGTTTACGACGGTGCAGTAACAGATTCAACACCTTGACTCAAGTGTTTATTCTGGTTATAAACACCTAACTGAACTAAGGTAAATCAGGAAAAAGCTTGGATCACCATTACTAAAGTGGTAACTGTAAATAACAGGAATAGTCATCTTGACACTCTCCAAAGATGTCAAGATTTATACTTCAGCATCTCCTTTCTTTAATCTATCCAAAAACTTGTGAAAACAGCAAATTGCTGTTTTATTTGGGATGCATATCTGGGATCATCTACTTCCTGGAGCCTCTGCTGGTTGCTGGGAAACTGCCACATACTAAGAATTAGTCTGGCACATGACATCCCAAAAAAGGTTAATTTTTTTTATCCCAGACAAATTTAGCAAACCTTTCCAGTCTTTGAGCAGTGCTTACTTAGCCAGGTGCTACCCCTCGCTTGTTATCAGGCAAGTAAACACAAGTGCACTTCATAACTCTCAGCAGAGCGCACAAAGGTGCATTTTTCTCTGATTTGAAATCAAATTAGACCGTGTGTGCAGATGAAAATCTGTGGTCAATGAGAGGGAAAACGTGCGAATCAGAGATTACAAATCTGCTCTTTACATAAGGAGATATTGTCATTTTTATCTTCTATCTTTTCTTATGAACAACACTGTTTGCCTGTGTAACGCTTGTTGTGGTGTTGTGTTTCTTCTTTTGTGGTGGTTGTCTCTTTAAATACTGAATTTGACATTCTCATGGCATTTGGTGTCTCTGCGATTGTATCAAGCGAATGTGTGGGCTGCGACAGCAATAAACTGACACGAACCCTGCTGCAGATTTGCACCGGATTGCTCCTTGCATCCCTCCTACCTTGGCAGATTTGGGGAGAAAATGCCTCCAGTGCAGTTTCTCCGTCACATATGCTGCCAGTGTCCCCCCCCATTTCATCCAATCATGATTATAACCCGTGAAGTATAACACATTTACAGACACTTTGATCTTGTCATATCTAAAAGTGCTACTTTCTCATACTTGAAATTTCGAAACGGCTCCACTCCTCCTCTGCCTCCGTCTTCGCTCCTTCTGTTCCCTCACATCTCACAGTGTAAACCAACACCTGCCCTTCTGGTGAGCTGTAATTGAGTTGAGCATTATTCAAGAGCATTATACAGCCAACAGTTTTGGTGGGTGATCATTGTGTATGTTGGCTGTATCCTAGGAGATTGATGCATATCTAATAAGGAGTGTGTTACTCATTTTGCAGAGTGGGCACTTTGATGTCCACCATGTTGAATTTTTTTGTTTTAGCTCAACGTCGTCCTAATGAAGCAGAGGGCTAGAAGCCTGAGAACTGGTTGCTTATCAACTCTAAACCCTCTTATTAGGAATTGTAGTGAAATCTTAATTGGATACAGGAACAGGGGATGCCTGAATGCCTCGCCAGTCATCAAGAGGTCAAGTTTTATCCACTGATTACAGAAGTGAAGACATAGAATTTTTCATTAAATTACATTACATTATCTAACTTTACAAATCTCACCCTTCCTACTTTAACAAGTTATTTCATCACTTTCATCCAGCGTTTTATATTAAAAATACAATATGACTTTTCCACAAACAACCTGATGGCATCAAAGGGAATCTTTTGGAAGGATCTGTCGCATCTCTGTCCAGAAAGCCAAAGCTATCCAATCCTCCTGTGAAGCAATCCAATGACAAACTGCGGAGAAAGTGCACCGTACCGCAATTGTGTTGAGATTACTGTGGAAGCCTCTTCTAATCTGAAGCGTTTAAACCTTTAAACAGCAGCAGTGTTTCATGTCAACGTCAGGTGCGGCGTCTGTTGTTGGTAGGAAAAAGAAGAAAATGATGAAGGGTCTGTTAAGAGATCTCAGTGATAGCAGAGGATTATGCTGTGAGTCAGTTTCAAAGCTGTCAGAAGTTTGGGGGTTGTCGGCGCAGACTTGTGCATCAGCGCAAATTAGATGCTGTTCTGATAGACAGTTAGAGAACTTCGCTCAGCTGCTTGTGGTTCACAACCCTGAGACTCTGACGTATTTGACACGATGAGACACACTGACCAAAATACACCTCCTCTGCAGCAAAAGGTGGGGAACAAGCTTTTTCTGTGCATGCTGTTGTTGCTGACGTCAAATCATTCTGTCCGTCCTTGAGAGTGTCTGTTTATGAGCACAATCAGATATGACAGGACCCGACAGGATCTGCCTGGCCTCTCCAAAATGCCCCCTGTCTTGGTGGCAGAGCTAACAATAGATGTGAGAGCTTCATAAACATGGCTGCGAGGCGAGATACCTGCCACCTGTGAGCTGATGACAAAATCTTACTCCTCTGGGTTGAACCGCAGTTAATCACAGGCCAAAAGAATCGACCGTGTCCACCACAACGCGCAAAAATTTTCACATCTCTTCACACATCTATTCTAATCAACTCAAGTAATTATTTAGTCATAATTCTGCTTAAATGAAAGGATGGAGAATTGAGGGTTTTGTTCAGACATCAAGTCCCTGCTGTGGTAACTGTAAGACAGCATATGTGCTGCAGCTGGGTCTTATCAGCTGTGTTAGTAGGTGGGAAGAGCTGGCAAGTATCAGAGGGCAAACAAAAGTCCGTAATTATTGCTGGGTGCTATAAGAAAGGAGCGGTTTCACTCTGAAGACTGTCAGAGGGAGTGTGTTGTAATTCCTTGCAGATACGATGCGTTCACACACATGTTATGGTTTGAAAATGCCTGAAAAGGTTGTCAAATGAGACACCATAACTCCATATTTACAATGCTGTAAAATTAGATTCAAACCCAAATCTCTTCCCTTCAGCACAGTATAATTCATG